TTCCCCCGGAAGAGCTGGCCCAAGTGGCTGGGGAGAGGGAAGTCTGGATCTCCCTACTTAGGCTGCTACCCCCGCGACCCGACCCCGGATAAGCGGAAAAAAATGGATGGATGGATATTTTTCCTTTAAAATGTTACATTTACTCAGATTAAACTTTTGATCTGTCATCTATGTTATATTACGAATAAAATATTGACATTTGCCATCTCCACATCATTGCATTCAGTTTTTATTCACAATTTGTTTAGTGTCCCAACTTTTTTGGAATCCTGTTTGTAGAAAATTAAAGTTTAGACTTTCTCACATGCAGACCATTTGCAGTTAAACTTGCAGGCCTGCATAAATTAGAGCATGCTTTATGCCAATAGAGCTGTTTGCTTTTCTGGTGCTCTGAGCAGGGGAACAAGATGTTTCCGCATAACTTAATTTGTCTGAGCCAGCATCAGCTGTTAAATTTAATTCAGGTATCTGCATATTTTACAAGTAAAAAAGCAGATCCTTCACATTTGATCACAAAATAAAAGTCCAGCGCTGCAATCTGTGCTTGGATGTTGAAATGAAGATAACGCAATATGGGAGGTGCTTCTAAACCACATAAAAAAATAAAAACTATAACTTTTTTTTTTTTAACATTAAGAAGAGATCTGTAATTGTTAACAGTTTTAAAATATTTCCACGTTAAAAAAAAAACCTTCCATAAAAAATTTATATTTTTTGTGTAGTCTCCTTATAATAAAATCCAAACACTGAACTATCCGCAGGCTTAAGTGAGTCCTATCTACTATATTTGTAAAAAAAAACATAAAACATCCCACTTTGAACTAATAAAAATGTTGTTCTGTGGTCATTACTGCAATCTTGTAACCCTGTGTCTGCAAGTTTGAGCCCGTAGTGTCAGAATTATTGGCAAATATTTTTGGAAGCTATAATTTAAGCCTAGGGTTTGGAGTTCTGAAAAACAAACACATTCCAAGGAGACAAGATAAAATGAAAGTGATTTATTAACAGGAAACAGATGGCAACCAGGGGCTACCCAGAAGGGCCCCCCTGCCCAGGATTTGATCCCGTGACCTTCTTGCTGTGAGGCAACAGCTCTACCAACTGAACCACCATGCTGCCGGGACTCAAACCAGAGGAATCAATGTTTTAATTAACATGGACGTACGCTCCTACTCAGCCTCATCCTTTTTACTGTTGTTTATTGTTGTCATTGTTTACTGTTATTGTTGTCTGTACTTTATATGTTCTGTCTGGAACAGGTCCCTCTTGTAAATGAGTCCCTGTGGCTCAATGAGGCTAGCCTGTATAGAAAAATGAATGAATGTAGGTGATAATCAGCTGTGACAGGAGAATAATGGAACCAGTTGGCACCGCTCACTCACTGGATGGTCAGGGGAAAAACACTGGAATCCTGACAAAATGTTTTGTAAAAAAAAACAAAACAACATGTTTGAAATAAAATTTGATTTGGT